AGGGCCTGAGTTCAATCTCCGGTTCTGAAAAAAAAGAAGAAGAATATCTATCTCTGACAGGACTAAAAAAAAGGGGGGGGGAGAATACAAAGGAAAGATAATTTTGTATTTATATATACAAAATAATTAGGATAGATATTACAGCTACTTTCGCTTAATTTAATGAGAAGAAAGAGGTGTACTAATAGTGTTTGGACAGGATATCCTGTCTGCTTCTTGTACTATGGATAACCACTAAGAAGATAACAATGTACAATGTATTGATTATTGAAACTGTCCTATTAATCAGCTTTGAAACTGTCTCATTCATACTTGTTTCTCAATAAAATTTTTTTAAAAAGTAATAAAAATCAACTTGTTGTATTTTATTAAATGGCTGGAGTTCCCAAAGGAGCGAATTCTCTTGTGTTATCATTTCCCTTTCATCCCATTAGCCAAGAAAATACTGAAACTCCAATCTCCTCTTTGTTCCAGCAGCTGCAATTTATTTTCATGAAACAACTATTGTACTATTTGTAATAAGACCCCTAGAAGAGGCTTCTAGCAATTTCCGGGAACATCCTGTGGGAAAACTCCTTTTTCTATAAATGGGAGAAAGGGGTCAGATTTTGGCCTCCTTCAGACTTTGGCAGGAACTGAGGAAGCTCAGGATTGCGTCTGATGTCCTCTCTGTTGAATTCATTCAGGCCAGGGCTGGAGTAGGTGAGTATGAACACGCAGTGGGTAGACCGGAGCACCAGTGTGCACTGAGGTGGGGGTGCCCAGAAAGTGTGAGGCACAGGGAGTGCTGGCCCAATTCCTGAGTCATCCCCAACCCCCTTCCACTTGCCTGGTCACTAACCAGTTCCAGCTGTGCTCCGTTCTGGCCATTACTCCCCATATGGTCTCTAGGAACTTGTGACTAATTGAGTGCGTGAACATTTGTCGTGTGTATCCTTAAAAACAGGAGTTTCCAGGGTAACATCTGGGAGCTAAACTCCTCAAGCCAGGGAGAGCTTCCTCTCTCCTGACTCCTCTAGGCATCTGAGGGAAAAACAGGCCAGAGGGTAATCTTAATCTTTCTCCATGCCAAGGGCAGAGTCTGGACCAGCCTTAACTTGGTTCAAACATGCTTTTTCACCCCTTGACTTCTCAGTTTCAGACCGTTATATATTAGGATGCCCAGTCAGGATAGCTTCCACTGGGTAAAGGTAGCTGTGTGGGAGGTGGGTGGTAGGTGATGGTTAGGAGAATGGTTTCTCCTAGCCTAGAAACCTCATACACTTGTGGCTGCCACCCAGAGCTCCATGGTCGCTTGTGATCAGGAAATGCTCTTAGAAGTCTCCCTACTTCCTCCTGCCAGAGTGTCATTAAAATACCTCCATAGAAACTCCAGCAGAGAGGGAAAGCAGCCTGCAGGAAGGGAGTAGGAAAAGGAGGCTAGGTGTTCCTTCTCTTGGAGTTAAGTTCTCTTTTGGGGACAGGCGAACGCATGTCCCAACCCTTTGCACACATTCCCACATCTCCCCCAGTGAGAGATGACACATTTAGAGAGCAAAAGAGTTGTGTCAGTCTGTAAGGGGTGGTAATGATGAGGCACAGTGGGAGACAAATTAGTCACGTAGGCCTTGCACAAGTGCCTAGTCTGAGGCCCAAGGGGGTTTTGTTTGGGTGTCTGCTGAGCTCCCAGAGAAAGGAAGAGCCCTAGACTCTGTCTCTACCTGCAGATGCATTTGTTTTCTGTGAAAAGGTGATAGTACTGAGGTACAGGGTTGTTATTGAGGTTAAACAGCTTTTAGCCTTTTACTCTCTCTCTCTCTCTCTCTCTCTCTCTCTCTCTCTCCAGCTCCCTCTCAAGCCTTCTAAGACCAGAAAAATAACAGGTTTGGGGGTAGAAAAAGAACAAAAGGGATGAGAAGGAGCCGTGCTGGGGACCAAGCTGGGGGTCAAGCCAGATAGTCCCCAGTCTCCATCATTCCTGGGTGCTTCAGCTTTGGTGTTGGCCTCTGTCACCCATCGCTCAGAGATTCTCTGTTCTCCCTGCTTGACACTGGTCATCTGGGACTTAGTCACCCACTTGTCACTCAATGCTGAGAGAGTCATGGGGTCAGCATCACTGAGGACATCAACATGAGTCAAAAGAATTCCTCACCTTGACCCTGCAGTGTGGAGTTTCCCTGTGCTAGTCTCTCCCCAGGATGTGGGGACTGGCTCAGAAAGGAAGTTCCCCCAGGGACACAGGTCCAGTCATCCTCTCTCCTGTTGCTGCACATTATTTGAATACTGCAAATGTGTGGTGCCTCAGGGCCAGTGGGATATTCAGTGTCTCCTCACCTGTTAGGAGTAAGTGCTAAGAGTCAGCATAGTATCTGAAAACAGCACTCCTTACAGCAGAAGAATTTTTTTTTAATGTATTTTTTTATATTTATTTTTATTTATTACATTTATTTATTGTGTGTGTGTGTGGCCAGCTCAGCCCACCAGGGGGCGGGTCTGGCTGGCAGGTGGTGCTGGGGATCGAACCGTGGTCCCTGTGCTTTGCCAAGCTTGTTTCAAGTAGGTGCTTTAGACCACTGAGCCATCTCTCCAGCCCCAGCAGAAGAATTTGAATACAGGCCAAGTCAGTTAGGGGCTCCATGTTCTTGCTCAAGTTTCCCTCTTGTCTCCATTTCCTTTTTCTTTTTCTTTTTTTTTTTTTTTTTTCTGGCAGAACCAGGGATTGAACCAGGCACTTGCGCTTGCCAAGAAAGCACTTATTCCACTGAGCCATCTCCCTGACCACTCCATTTCCTTTTTCTTTTTTTTTCTCTGTCTCTCTGTCTCTCTGTCTCTCTGTCTCTCTGTCTCTGTCTCTGTCTCTGTTTCTGTCCCTCTCTGTCTCTGTCTCTGTCTCTCTGGAACTGGGGGTTAAATCCACAATCTCAGGCATTCTAGGCAAGGAATATACTACTCTATAGTCATAGCCTCTTCTTTTTCTCTTCTAAAACATAGCCAGGAGCAGTGCCATGTGCCTATAATCCTAGCTAAGCAGGAGATTGAAGCAGGAGGATCCCTTGAGCCCAGTTTAGACCTAGCTTAGGTAAGACCTCATTTCTGATAGATAGATAGGCCAGGACAATTTCTTCCTCAGAGGATATTTCTGAGAATTAAATGAGAAAGT